CTTTGGATCGATGAGATGGGATTCCTCATGGTCCGCCATTTTCTCCGATGAGGTGAAGCTCGGAGAACGTTCAAAGTTTCAAACACTGTTCGCGCCTTTTCGTAGTAGGTTTTTATTTATTTATTTTATAATGTTTAATATAATAATAATGATAATGTTTAATATAATAAGTCGGCGAGTCACGATTGAAATATTTTCTATAAATGATTGCGATTACCTTTATCTATATCTATAATATATGTATTTAAAAATTGATATGATAGGGTTTGGTAGTTTGCATTTAAAAAATGAAAATAATATGATAACGGAAATCATAATGTTAATACAAACAATGGATGTACTAATTCGATACTTATAATAATTTTACCTATTATATGACCAATTGATTTAAAAGACGTTGTAGAACAATTATAAGAAAAAATCACGTAAGAAAGGTAAAGGGTCTAAATCTAATTTAATAATACTAATAGTGATTAAGGACTAATCGAATGGTATCTCACAGATAAAATTTGTTTTTGTATCGATCTCACAAATCATAGACAATAAGACTGGTTAAGTTTTTAGAGTTTTTAAAATTCAAAAACCCAAAAAATTAATATTTAAGTTTTTATAAAATTACTTTTCATACAAATTTGGAAAACCATTTTGGTGAAAAAATCAATGAAAAAACAAAAACTATATTTTTTGGGTTTACAAATATTACAAAATCTAAAATCCAAAAACTCAAAATAAAAATAATCTCCATTCAAACCCTAGATGTATTAGTTAGTAGTTACATTGTGCCTTTCGAATACCAAAACCATCTCAGGACACAATGGATTAGATTTTTATTATGTAAATAAAAATTAATTCCTTGATGTAACCAATTATAGTATGTCTTTGGACCAAATAATCACCAACATGTAATAAAAAAAGAGTGATTTGATTTATATATCTGAATGTTGAATTGGGGAAAAAAATAGATTTGGAAAACAAGCAGAGGCCCATAAGTGACAAAAGTTCTAAAATGTTTGGGCTTTTAATGGGTCGAACAGGCATGCACGCTATAAAAACAGCGTGTCGTTTTAAACAAATCGCTTAAAACGGCATGCGTGTTGTTTACAACATTTGCCTAAACAATGCGTGTCGCTCCCCTTTTTCATATGTGCATACAGAAACGGCGTTAGAAAACCCAAACTTGCATCACCAAAGAATGGCAAATATTTATTATTATCTATCTATATAGCTGATTTAGTAAAAAGATGTTAATGATTATATTAAAAAAATATTGGGATTGAAGATATACATAATTACCTAAACCGGCTATCCATTATCTGATGGAGAATGGACAGATATATAGTTCAGTTTTTAATTTTATTTCGAGACAAATAATATTTAAACATACTAATTGCATCCGCTCACCCCATAAATATACACATTATTGTATATTTATAATATTTTTATTTTTCTAAAATTGCTTTTAGAGGAAATTAAATCCGAGTTACTTTTTTTACAATTTCGACATTGTTTTGAACTGAAGTCAATTATATGATTTATGTATAACAGTTTACATTGCATAAGCTTTTGACCAATAATAATGAAAGGTGTTAGTTAGAATGCTTAATTATATATTTGGGTCGTGAAGAAGAGTTGATGCTCTTATCTAATCTAATCGAATAATGCGATTAACATTTTATTTTGGTCCTAATCATTAGATACCATAAATGCTTTTTTCCATTATATGTGTTATCTACTTTGGTTGGGAATTTAAGTTGAAGTTATGACCTCAACTTTTTTTAATTAAAAATAAATAATTAAATAAAACAATAAAACGCAAGTTACGAGCAAGTTGCATTAGAGTAGAGACAGTAGTAGACACCACCAAACTAATTATGGAAAGCCTTAAAATTAATTATCTTTTCTTTTCCTAATCCCGGTTATGTACAAACCGGATCTCACTTTCATGCGGGTAATTGGTCCGGTTCTTAGATTCACCCGTTTGAACCGGTGATTCAATTATATTACCCACAAGTACACACACATAAGCGTAGTGTGTATGTTAATATTATTCTTAATTATCATACAAGTATTTTTAAGATGACCCAAGAGATCGGTGCATGTGAGACCAGTCGAAGGTAGTTAATTATTTGCTATTAAATAAAATCAAGTGAACTAATTATACATTTCGACATTTCGTAATGGACGTTTAAGTATTATTATATTCACTGTAAATTCTTTAACACATCAATTTCTTAAAAAAAAATATTATAAAACGAACTCCAAACAAAACACAAAAAAAAAATCGAAAAAAGAAGTAGAAATTAAACACACACACACACAAATAATTAAGAGTGATTTAGTTAATGGGTTAAGGCGTTAAGCAAGGAAACCCTAGTGTTAATCAAGCTCCTAAACACTTTCTCGCTCCCACATTCGATCTCACGTATCGAATTCTCCAATTCCACCGTTCTCTTAATCAAAATCTTCACTTCTTCATCTCTCTTTCTCCTCAATCCACTCATACTCTTCTCGTCGATCTTCCTCAGCTCCTCGATTCCTTCGCCGGTTCTCACCTTTTTCTCCGATCTCTTCAGAAGCCCGATGAACGGCGTTGTTTTGGTTTGACGGAACGAGAAATATACGCCGTTAAAGAGCGCGACGGAGACGAAGACCGTTACATCGATGACGTCACCAATGACGGATGCCAGTTCAGCGTCTCCGTACGATTTACTCTCGCTGACGTGGCAAAAATTATGCTTGGTGGTCTTCCGCTCGCGGATAGACGGCGTTAGCCTCGAGATATCTCGCGCGAGATTTTGGCGAGATTTTAGGTTGGCCGTAATTTTGGCATCGTCTCTCTTCCTGAGAGCGACCTGAGAGCCGGAATTGTTTTCGCGGAGGGAGAGAATGGATGTCTGGAAGATTCCATAGGCGTCAATGAAACGGAGGAGATCTTCTAGAAGAGTCTCGAAGAAGATTGGGCGGTTTCGGAGGGATTCCTGTGACTGCGGGAGACGTAGAATGTCGGAGAACGTCTCGTGGACGTCCTTGAGGAGGCTAAGACCGTCGGAGATCCAGGCGGATGTGCGGCGGAATCCATCGGTCATCTCTCCGGCGGCGGCGGAGGACCAGGATTTGAGCTGAGAGATCTCGTTGTTGATGTGGGAGATGAGGGGATGGGATCGGCAGGGGAGACTGACAGATCTGGTGTGGTGAGAGATCCGAGGCTTCGATGGCGGAGATGAACGGCCGGAGTTTGGTTTGTTCGGAAAGGAGAGCGATCGCCGGAAAACGCCAACCATTTCAGGAGAGAGAGAGAGTTTAATTTTTAAACTTGAATTTGAAATGGAGGGGAGGAAACGGGAAGCGTTTATATACACGCACACGAAGGATGGGGTGGCAGGTCTGACGCACGTGTGGGAGTTAGCAGTGGATCTGAGCTTAATTAGTCAATTGCTTGTCTTTTTTCTTCGATTAAATTTTTTTTAATCTCTGATTACTGAATTTATCCGATGATTTAATGTTTTAAATTTATATTTAATTCACTTAAATGTATCTGCAAATAAATTGTCTCCAAATCCTAAACAATATGCGAGATATTTTTTTAAAAAATTAACGAATATTTTTTTTATAAAAAAACTGCATTTTAAACAGAAACAAAATATTTTTAAATAGTTCAAGATTAGATGTTGAAAAGTAAATAGCCCGAGACTGTATAATTTTGTACGAGTATTCATTTAGAATAATATCCAAGGCAATGTTAGAAGAGTTATTGTTAAATTTTGTTTATAAGGTTAATGTTATTAATATTTTTAACAGCTTTGGGAAATGCTGAATGATATTACCTGTAATATTTTACTTTACTATTTTTTCAAAGTTGTTAATTTCCTAAAATATAAAATAAAGAGTGTAAAATACAACGTACTCGTTTCTTTAAAGAAAAAGAGTAGTGTTATTTGAGCTATAGCCAATTGCTATTAGCTGTATTTAGAGTTTAATTACGTTAGTAATCACAAAAATTAAAGGCATGTTGCGTCCAAAGAGGACGTGGCTTGTTCATAGTAATATTTAAAGGTCGATACCAAAGGATATAGGGTTTCATTTCATGCAAGCCAAAGGGCAGTGGTTTGTTGTGATTAAGAAATTAATTAAAAGGTGATTAGTTGTTTTTTAAGACACATAATTATATGTTCCATTTCAAGCGGAGAGGGGACACACACGTGGCATCACTGTTCTTGATGCAATAAAAACGAGTTAATTACGTTTATTAGATGTTCTGAATTAGGGTTTAGAGAATTAATAATAACACACGGAAATCTGGTTAAAAACGCGTTAACCCATGTTTCATTTACATGATTATGATAAATTATATATATGTAATCATTTTAAATATAATTTCAATATGTTTATTAAAAAAAATTGTGCATAAGCGGTCGTTGTTTTTTCCTTATTAACGCTAATGAATAAATTTTGTTATAAAAAAAAAAAGACTTAAACGGTCAAACCAAATTTAGTCTTTCAAATTAACTGTTTTAATCATCGTAAATGAAATATCAAAATGTGCAATAGGTTCCTATGTATAATCATACCAAATGGAATCACACATAACTATATATTAAAATCAAATTCAACCTAAAAATACTCTAAAAATAGTAACCAAATATAAAAATAATCTTAAAACATCTTTTTAAAATATACATATTTTTAAAATATAAATAGAAGCTAAATCATGTTATAAAAAATCAAATGAATGTAATTAAACTCTGTGATTATGGACCTACCAAATGAAATTATGGATAGAATATGAGCTGGCACGTGTGAGGGTACAGCTCCATCTTTGCCTTAAAGATTAAAACAACACGCTTTTCTGTTCTGCACAACTCACTTTGCCCCCCACAACATCACCCCCCAAAAAAATGTTTGTCTCTAATTATTGATTAATTAATCTCATAAAATAAAGATTTCTTTAATTAATAACTGTAATTAACCACTAACTTAATTAAGATAATGCAACCGTACGTGTGGACTTCAACTCGAGTTCGACGCAGATCCATAGGGAGATTTAATGCTTGATTATCCGTAATTAATAGCTAATTCATGAATATTTAATTTTTTTTTATTGAAATGCATATTATATAGAATTGTACATTTTGATATTTGACACTAATAAATTCAATACGTTCTTTAGCATATTTTTATCGTATTTGTTTATATAAGTGTAGAACGTACGTATCTATTATTAATAGTGGCGACCGATACATAATACATATTACATATAGGATTGTTTTTCACTAATGCTGGCGAAAATTCTGGTACATTTTCTAGGTACGGATACAACAAATATAGTAAATGAATTAAATGAAAAATAATAACTTCTAATGGGTTAAGGCAGTATTAAAAAAGGTTATACATAAAGTTGATTAAATGATATTTTTAATTAGGTTTTGATATTTCTCTCCCCATATTAAAAAAAACAACCGAGCCGAATTCCTTTAGATTTTAAATAAAAAAAATCTGAAATAATTACGGAATCGGTATAATATTCTTAAAATAGAAACATGTATATAATCCAGAAGATAATCAAATTGAAACCCGATGTAAATCCGAAATATCCTCTTTCTATAATGCGTAATAATTGTGCAGGCCAATTATATGCGTATACAAAATGATGCTATAAGTTCATTGATTAAAGGGAAGCTTAAGAACAATGTTAATTTATATTTTCCATAGATAGAAAATATACACCCCTTTTACAAATTGATGAATCGATATAAGAGTAAATAAACTTGATGAAAATAATATAAATGACTGTGATGCACACACACATATATATATATACATAGACGATGATTCGATCGTTACTCACGTGATATGCCGGGATTCGAATGATTCGATCCGGAAAGTCACGTGAGGTGTTCGAGATATGCATCAGTACATATAACAAGCAATGGGAAAATATATAATAATATTTTTTAACGAGATTATAGAACTATACCATTTATTGATAATATATATATATATATACCTACATAATTTATTAACCGACTAAATAGAACTATAAAATATATATAATAAATATGAAACCATGCATATCTCACTGACATGTGGATTGGATTTTTTGGTTCCCGCATCGATTCATTTAGCGAATCTTAGATATACGTTTTTAATGTCGGAATTTCGTCTCAAATGCGTAAGACGATCTCGATTCAACGTATGGATGAATCCGGATTTGGAAACAAGAGAGCAGTTTTAAATATTTCTCAATTGGATGAAATATTTCGATTTTGATATTAATTATAAATTTGCATCGAATAATATATAAATCTATTTAAATTGAGTCCTAATATAAAACAAATAGACTAAATATTTTTAAAAAAAAAAACAAAATCAATCTAAATTTAATTGAAATCAAAATTAATATAAAATAATGAAAAACAAAATGATTTTTTTAGAAACTAAATATTTTTAACCAAAATAAAATTTGAACAGAACATAATAAATGCGATATAAAAAATAAATCAGTGTATTTTTTTTTTCAAACCAAAAGATACAAATGCGGAAATAAGAAAATTGAAACCGAACCACCCTTTATCTTAATTGGAAAAAGTTTTGTATTTGTATGAATTTTATCGTAAATATATGGAATATAGCTCCTAGGTGGTGGGATCATGAACCCTAATAATGATACACCAACTTGAATTCATAAAACCTGGCCTTCATTTCGGTATCAACCTTCAAATGAGGGATATGTATCTCAATTATACTTTTTGGTGCCAATGTTGATCCACTTGTTTTCATAATGGGCAATTATGCCATGCATGCAGGCGTACAGTTAGATTGTTGTTATCTGCATATAACCCAAATTCGACCGTCAAAACCTGTTTATCGTCTCGAATTCGAATCTCAAATTTTTCACAAAACGTATAATCCAAAACTGGTTCTCAAACCCAAAATTAGACTAGACCTTAATTTAGGATACCCGATTATCCAAAAAATATTCTAAATACAATAACTGATTATTTTGTTTTTTAATTATGAACAAAAACTGCTCATTTCCATATCTAAAAACTCTAAAAACAAAAGAAAACCATAAATAAGGAATCAAGGATGTCTTCTTTAACCACATAGCTCAGAAACCAAAGACATGAATCTAATGTCTTCGAACACGATGGAAGATTCTGTGTTAAAAAACATTAGCTAAGCTGAAATTTCTCCAAGACATGATAGTTTGTAAAAGTGTTAAGAGAATCTAAGACGTAGCAACTGAACCCAAAAAAAAACACTCAGTTCCATGCGGTGCAGAGTCTCTAAGTTGTGAGCAGAAGATACACTAAACCTTTTAGATATTCAACAATTTCCGATCCTCCGAGCTTTGAACTCCCGAAAACCCTGTCGACAAAAGTTATCGGAACCTGCAGAGGAAAACGTAAACCAGCATATCCATAAGCCGAAGGGTATTTGCAGAAAAATTGTTATAAATTCAATTAAACACGAAGGGCAAGAGTTCAAGGAATCGGAAGTTGCAAGTAGTAATGGATTATGACAAGTTAAAACGAATTTGATGAACGTAAACGAACCAACCTCTTCGATATGGTAGCCTTTTCGGGTGGCACGTACAATCATCTCCATCTGAAAGACATACCCTTTGCTCACGCACGAGCTAATGACGTCTTCGAGAACGGATTTCTTGTATAGCCTTTGGATAAGAAGGCGAATGAACAGTTCTATACTTGGTCATTCAAATGTTAAAAGAATTTGGGAAAATGGCCAAGGTTAGTTTGGACTTACCGGAAAGATCCAGTCAAATCAGATACACCAGGCCATAAAAGAGTGTGAGCAAGAACATTTGCTCCTCTACTTGTGAGTTTCCTCATAAGATTCCACCCATGCACACCCCCGCCTTTTACATAGCGTGTTCCCGTTACTATACTAGCACCGGTTTCTAGTTGTTTCCTACATGATATTTAAAAAAAAAATAAGCCCAAGAAAGTAAACAGCAGACGGTAAATTAGTAGAAGATGAGGAAAAATCTTCTCACTTGATGAAGCTTGGTAAGTACTTTGGCTGCGCAAGAGAAAGTGAATGGGTGAGCTCAGAAAACAAAATGAAACAAGAAACCAAACTAAAAATTGATTAGTATGCTTACGTGATGCGAAAGATCAGCATCCATGATCACGACAAAATCGCCCGAAGCATGCTTCAAACCATGAATATATGCAGTTCCTAATATCGAGAGCTCATGAAGGTTATTATCTCTCCACTTCTTGTCAGCAAACCTTTTTTTAAAACAAAGCAAAAACCAAAAGCAGGAATACGATACACACCCAATCCGAGCTTCTTGGCTCTAGGTCTTAACAACTGCATCATATAGGGATAAACATGAGTTCAAATAAACAGAGAAACCGAAAAAAGAGGAAAATCAAATGATTTGCAAAATTTAGGTCCTAACTCATCATTCTACTCACGATGCGGTCTTCACCATACAATGTCTGCAGTTGCTTGGCAATTTCCTGTGTACCGTCAGGGCTCCCGTCGTCCACCACAATTATCTCGAAATCAACATCCCTAGACATCCAAGAAATGGCAACGCCATTCAGTACGTGATCTACCGTACAATTTCATGACATTCATTGATTGAAAGTTTGGTACAAGTGCCTAAGGGATGCATCCTCTATACAGAAGTTACACCAAGCGGAAGATATGTTAACCATCTAGGCTCATTTTTGCCTACGAAAATTTTTTCCATTGATTAAACAAAAAACAGTTTGAGACTAAATCTATATCTGCCCAGGAAAGAGGGCATGCGTTTGCATCGCTAGCCAACTCTTGAACAATTGATTGCCAACCAACACCGTGTCCTTGCACTATTCTATCCAGTATGAAAACATAACAAAAGGTTCTACAAGAGTAACAAGACAATAGCTTTGAGAAATATCGCATGCTAATCTATTAACCTCTTCAAACACTAATTCTGGCACAAACACAAACACGCAGGAAAGATCTGATAGTTGCCTATCTAGCTTCTGTTCATCCCCTAATCACAAGACCAGCAATTTCACACACACAACTATAACACTCCGATGGTGTTCCGGGAATAATACTGAATCAGGCGCACAAACAACAATCAAGCATTTGCAAATGCGAGTTACGATGTCAAATTAGGATCCGAACTTTTCAGAGTTCCATAGTTCCCAATCGGATTCAAATCCGAATGCCCGGAGATCAGATCTGATCGGCAATCAAGCTCCAATTCAGTCATTCAATCACATGGGATCCGGAGTCCTAATTCGATATCAAAATATCCATATTGATGAGTGATCACACTACCCAGTTCGTCATAAAGCGGGATTCTTAAACAGAGAAACATGAAAAGAAGAAACGATTCGTCTATTTCGTACCGAAGATGCTTGAAAATGAGGTAGACAAGAAGAGCGATGTTGAGGCGCTCGTTGTAGGTAGGAACGATGATACTGTACTTGTGTTTCTTCTCGCCTTTCGTCTCCTTCTCCTCCGCCATTGCAGCTACAACTTTTTTTTTTTTTTTTTATCACGCCACGAAACCCTAAAATAATTCACAAACCTCTCGGCGAGTTTTACCAATGGAGCTTCGATCGGTTCAAGCAGCGTTATTTTATTTGTTTCACATTTTGTTTGAAGAAATAAAACTTCGATATTTGCTACCAAGTACCTGAAGTTATATGTATATTAGAGTATAAACTCTATACTTGTGTTACATTCAATTTAGTCTTCCAATTACTGATGTAAATTTCGGATTTCGTTCGTTTATTTTTTTTTCTAAATATTTAATCCATGTCCATATCATTACATCGAGAGTTTGGATAATAAATCTTGACAGAAAAACATTGAAATCGAAAAAAAAATTGAGAGTTTTGAAAAACTGTAAATGGGTTCTTAAATCCATAAGTTTGGAGACAGAGGGAATGAAATTCAAGAACGAATATGAACAGTGTAGGGGACTGAACGGTGAAC